CCATGGGTGTTGATTGTGGATCCAAGTAAAATGAAATCCTTGACAACTTCAATCTTTTCTCCGTTTATCATGATGTTGCTTATTGGTCCAGTTGTCAGGATTTTTGTTTTCTTTATGTTGAGGTGTAATCGATACTGAAGGCTGTGGTCTTTGATCTTCTCCAGTAAGTGCTTCAAGTCCTCTTCACTTTCAGCAAGCAAGGTTGTGTCATCTGCATATCACAGGTTGTTAACAAGTCTTCCTCCAATCCTGATGCCCTGTTCTTCTTCATATAGTCCAGCTTCTCGAATTATTTGCTCAGCATACAGATTGAATAAGTATGGGAAAAGGATACAACACTGACTTTAAACCACCCTTGTTCTGTTCAGACGACTGCCTCTTGATCTACATACAGGTTCCTCGTGGCACAGTTAAGTGTTCTGGAATTCTCATTATTCACAATGTTATCCTTAATTTGTTATGATCCACACAGTCGAATGCCTTTGCTTAGTCAATAAAACACAGGTAAACATCTTCCTGGTATTCTCTGCTTTCAGCCAGGATCCATCTGACATCAGCAATGATATCCCTGGTTCCGTGTCCTCTTCTGAATTGGCTTGAATTTCTGGCAGTTTCCTGTCGATGTACTGCTGTAGCTGCTTTTGAATGATTGTCAGCAAAATTTTACTTACATGTGATATTAATGATACTGTTCAACAATTTTTGCATTCGGTTGGATCACCTTTCTTTGGAATAGGCATAAGTATGGATCTCTTCCAGTCAGCTGGCCTGGTAGCTGTCTTCCAAATTTCTTGGCATAGACAAGTGAGCACTTCCAGCGCTGCACTCGTTTTTGTTTTTGTTTTTTTTATTGTACTTCAGGTGAAGGCTTACAGAACAAATAGTCTCTCATGAAACAGAAGTACACATGTTATTTTATGACATCGGTTAACAACCCCACAACATATCAACCCTCTAACTTCTCAACCTTTTTTTTTTTTTTGGTGAAAATACACATAGCCAAAGATACACCGTTTCAAAAATTTCTACATGCACAGTTCAGTGACATTGACTACGCTCTTCGAATTGTGCTGTTATTCTCACTTAAGATGAAGGCTTACAGAACAAAATAGTTTCTCATTTAACAGTTACTACAAATGTTGCCCTATGACAATGGTTAACAATCTCACAACACATCAACAATATCCTTACTCAACCTTGGGTTCCCTATCACCAGCTTCCTTGTCCCCTTCTGCCTTCTGCCCCTTGTCACTGGACTCCTGTACCTTGTTAGTCTCATTTGGTGCACTCGTTTTTTGAAACATCTCAATTGATAATTCCATCAATTCCTGGAGCTTTGTTTTTCGTCTATGTCTTCAGTGCAGCTTGGACTTCTTCCTTCAGTACCATCGGTTCTTGATCATATGCTACCTCCTGAAATGGTTGAACATCAACCAATTCTTTTTGGTACAATGACTCTGTGTATTCCTTCCATCTTCTTTGATGCTTCCTTCCGTCGTTTAGTATTTTGCCCATAGAATCCTTCAGTGTTGCAACTTGAGGCTTTAATTTATTCTTCAGTTCTTTCAGCTTGAGAAATGTTGAACATGTTCTTCCCTTTTGGTTTTCTAACTCCAGGTCTTTGCACATTTCATTGTAATACTTTACTTTGTCTTCTCAAGCCCTCCTTTGAAATCTTCTGTTCAGCTCTTTTACTTCATCATTTCTTCCATTCACTTTAGCTACTCGACACTCAAGAACAAGTTTCAGAGTCTCTTCTGACATCCATTTTGGTCATTCTTTCCTCTCTTTTTAATGACCTCTTGCTTTCTTCTTGTATGATGTCCTTGATGTCATTCCATAACTCGTCTGGTCTTCGGTCATTAGTGTTCAGTGTGTCAAATCTATTCTTGAGATGGTCTCTAAATTCAGGTGGGATATACTCAAGGTCATACTTTGGCTCTCAAGGACTTATTCTAGTTTTCTTCAACTTCAGCTTAAATTTGAATACGAGCAATTGATGGTCTGTTCCGCAGTCGGCCCCTGGCCTTGTTCTAACTGATGATATTGAGCTTTTCCATTATCTCTTTCCACAGATATAGTTGATTTGATTCCTGTGTATTCCATCCGGCGAGGTCCACATGTATAGTCACCGTTTATGCTGTTGAAAAAAGGTATTTGCAATGAAGAAGTCGTTGGTCTTGCAAAATTCTATCATGCAATCTCTGGCATCGTCTCTATCACCAAGACCATACTTTCCAACTTTACTTTACTTTAGATAGTGTCAAATGTAATGAAAACATCCTCAGCACTATTTTATGATTAAAAAGTACATTAGATTATTTTTACAAGACTTGACATAAAACTATGGATTCTAAGAAATGACAGGGTTTTAACAACCAAAACAAGAGCCCCAAATGTCATCTGTTCTTTTCTATAAAGAAAGAAATGCTCTAAAAAATGCACTAAAGAAAAATAGAGATAGTCTTGCTTACAAAATCTCTGAGGCTGAATGCAGGCTCATTTGCCCATTTGGGGTCCCTTCCCACATATGTAAACACAGGCAAGCAGCTTCCTCTTTCTCTGCCACTTCCCAGAGACTGCACAGCAGGCTAGGGCAGGGTGACTAGAGAACACAGGAAACCAACACTGCCAACTCCCCTTCACTCCTCCCCTGTCTTGACCTCCTACCAAATCAAAATCCTACCCAAGCCTTTCCCTTCACCATATTCTGACAAAATGCAGTCTTATGGGAACATTGAGGTCCTATACTCCAAATTACTTAAGGGAATAGTTTTTACATTTTGGGACTACAGTTCTCCAAGAAATCCTCGTTTGGGACAGAGATGAAGAGGCTATTTGGGAGGGATTTACATGGAGAATGAATTTGAGAATAATAGGATAAATTTTAGGGAAATAGGTGATGATGGAGTTAGCTTAGTGCTCTGCGTTTTGCAAACTTCAGTGAAGAGAATCTCTATCATCTTAATTTTCTCGTAAGTAAAAGGGAAAATAGTAATGCTTACTTTGCCTAGTTACTTCAAGATTTTTAAAAATTTGTCCATTATCTATTCTGAAGGTAAAAAATATAGAATATCGTCCCTTGCTGTGAAAAAGCTTATAAACAAGTGAATTGCAGTGAGGATTCACACATAGTAGATGCTCAATAAATCTTATTATTTTATTGTTTTGAATTACAACAGGGGTGGAGGGAGAAATGAAAGTGGTTCGTAAACCGTAAAAAGGCCTCGCAAATACTACCAAAGCCCCAGAGGACAGAAGCGGAGTGAGCAATTTCAGGAGCTTGGTTTCGAGGTTATCGAATTTTCCCATATTTGCGCCTGAATTCTCAAAATTGAACATGACGGGACTTCAGGGTTGAGATCATCTGGTACAATTTCATGCAAATCGAAAATTCTTGCGGACTGTCACTGTGTCTGGCGAAAAACAACACCGCCAACCAACTATCCAATCTGAGTCCCAACTATCCTACGTCATCGCCCCGCATCCTCAAGTTTCTGTGCGTCCAGGTCCTAATCTACTATCCCAGGCTTCGCTTTCAGCGGCGCCTGCGCACTGCAGAGCTGGGCGGGGAGGGACGGACGCGTGCGCGCTGCATGGGGGCGGGGCTGGTGCGCACGCAGCCTCAGTCACTTTCACGCCCTTTCTCTTCCCGGTTTTCGGGTCAGCTTGCCGGTCCCGTCTGACAGCTGCTTCCGGCCGGAGCGCGGTGCAGGGCGAACCGGTCTCAGCTCCTTGTCATGTCCTACGGTCCCTTACACATGTACCGGAACCCGGGGCCCTCAGGGCCCCAGCTCCGGGACTTCAACAGCATCATCCAGACATGCAGCGGCAACATCCAGCGGATCAGCCAAGCCAGTGAGACGGGGGACTGGGCTGGGGGGCGGGGGCTGTCCCGGGACAGGCCTGGTGAGGCTGCCGAGACGCGGAGCCCAATCAGGGCTAAGACCAAAGCCACACCTGAGGCTGTCTTGGACTCTCCGCGCTGGGACCGCCGAGCTGCCATCCCTGCATCTGTGGCCCGACTTCCCGAAGGTCCCGAGCCGCGGCTGAAGCTCGAGTTTCTTCTTAGGAGTTCTGTCCCCACGGTGTTGGGACCGCAACAGCAGAGCTGACATCTCTAGGGTGGGGTGTGTGTGTGTGTGTCCTGGAGCAGTGAGTGCACTGACTTGGCCCAGTGGTCAGCCGACCTTTACCTGTCACCCGCTTTTCCCCCACCCACCTCGCTTTCTTCTTTGGCTAGTTTGGATCGGAGGTTGTTTACAGATTTAGGCTTTAGGTTTACATTCTGCTCAGCCACTGGCTTCTCAGAAATCAGCAACTTTCAATTAAAGGAATTGGAGAGTGTATGTATTTGGGTGACTTATACGTAATTCTTCCTGTAATGAGTTTAGGGATCAGATATGATTAGTATTTGAGTGAGATGACTTCTGTTTTAATGAGGAGGATTCACCCGAAAACGTTTCAGTTTACATTATTTTGTGGAGTTTTTTTTGTAGCAAAGGATTTGCATATACTTTTGGATTTCAAGCATATGAGGTTTTTGTTCTTCTTAGTATTTAGCTACTCTTGAACAAATCTGATGCACAGAGAAGCTCAGGGACTTGGCTACAATCACATAGCAAGTAAGGCATGGTAGTTAGTGGTAGAATTCAGAATGTCACTGCTTATCCTAAAACTCCCTCTTCACCATTAGGGTCTGAGTGAGGCTGTAGCTGAATGAGTCAAATACAGCCTGTATCTTGTGCCTGAAAATCAACTCAGAGCCTTGTAAACAGGAGGTCGGCAGCAGCAACTTTACTTGGAACAAATGGTGATCATTATCATTGTTGCTTATTATTGTATTTTTGTGAGCTTGGCTGTACTTTGTTAATGGGTAGAACTAGTTGGTCCTGTACTACAATCATGTTCTATGTTTTGAAGAATAATCTGTCACTTTCTTTTAAATTTAAATGTGTGATGTGGAACTTGGGAGGTAGAAAGTTTCTGATGGGAAGGGGTTGTGACTGGATGATTTCTAAGTGGAAAGAAGAATATATGTCCTGTTAAACCCAGAAATTAAAAAAAAATTAATATGACCACTGGTTAGAAAGCTCCAGTTTTCTCTTGTGAGGAAGTGGTAATACAGGTTAGATCAGAAAATTTTGGTTCAAAGCAGAAAACTTGTTGTTGAGGCTAAATCTAATTTTAATGTGTATTTATTTGTGAAATATCCATTTAACGTATATTTGTTTCAGTATCAGGCCATGTAGAAAATAGAGAACTGGCACAAAATTCTTTCCCCAGGGAGCCTGTGGAGTACATAAACAACTGTAAAAATGGCATGGGGGCGGTATCTGACCTCCTCTTCTAACTTCACAAGTGGGGGAGGAAAATCATTGTCAGCCTCAACAGCTCAAGGCTGATTCCTATAAGGTGGACATCAGACATACCTCCTGTCCAACCTTTTTACCAATTCTGACACCAGTTGTCCCTTCCATGGCACTTTCTACTTCTCTACTGAGTTTGATAATTCATTGCAATGGCCACGCAGAACTCACAGACGATATTCACAGTTATGGAGTTTATTAGGGAAGTAACAGGTTACAATTCAGGTTGAGGAATGCTCAGGATGCAGTTCTTCAATCAGGACAGACGCTTCTTGTCTTTGCGGCAGGCAGGCCTCTTTGTGGCCCTTGAACTCCCCACCCTCAGGGGCCCCTTTGGCCAGCCTGGCCTCTGCCCTGCTCGGGCAAGTGTTACAAAGCCCTTTTAGCTCTGCTGATGAGTGCCGGAGGCATCCAACTCCACTAGTAAGCCTGGGCTGAAGGCGCTCAGCCCTAGCTCCACTCAGCAAACCTAGCTCTACTGACAAGTACCGAGAGGCACCCCACTCCACCAGCAAGCCTCTTGCCTGAAGGTGGTCAGATTTCTCGCTCAGTGGGTCAGCACATCCACAGCAAAGTCTCCTGCTGGCCTCCTGGTTCTGCTGCCTCTATACTGCCACCATCTTCGGTGTTACAGCTCTGTCTCTCGGTCTCCTGGTTGTAGGAGGTTCCCAGCGCAGGGACCCCGGGTCCAAAGGACACTCTCCGCTCCCATCTCTTCTTGATGGTAGTCAGGCTTCCCCTCTGCTCTGGAATTGGCTCTCTTTTAGGCCTAGCGGGATGGCAAAACTGACCAATCCCCTTGTTAGGGTTCCATACACCTTATTTGCATGGTGCTACCAAATCATTGGAGCCTTGGTGGTGCAGTGATTAAGAGTTTGGCTGCTAACCAAAAGGTTGCCAGTTCAAATCTACCAGTTGCTCCTTCGAAACTCTGTAGGGCAGTTCTACCCTGTCCTAGAGGGTCACTATGAGTCGGAATCAACTCGACGGCGGTGGATTGGGGACCCAATCATTGTGTGGGAGTCACAAAGACTATGGCTAGAAGGGCCATATTAAGCACTTGTCTGTACCAAAACAACCAAAATGTAAAGTTGAAAGGAATCAGTGCCATAGATGAGGTACAGATAACCTTATGTGGGTATTCAGTGGAGAGAGACCGTTTTCAGTTGAAAGGAATCAGGGAAGGCATTTGCGCTAGATCTGGAAAGATGGTGGCAAGTGTTTGGATTTTTGAAGGTAAAGAGGGGGAAGAGTATTCCAGGAAGAGGGAATAAAATGAATAATGGCATGGTAGTGGAAAAGCATGAGGTATATAACAAAAGTAGAATAATTAGGCTAGAGTGATGGACTCAGGAAAGTAGTGGAAAATAGGATTGGAAAGATAAGTTGGGGCCCAAACATGAAAGGCTTTAAGTGCTTGGGTTTAAATCCAAGCCAAAGGGGCTTGGATTTAATTCTTCAGGAATGTGTAATTGAATTGGAAGTGAGAGAGACTGGAATCAGAGTTACCAGTTAGGGACTGTGGGAATGAAAAGGAAGGGAAGGCTAGGAGAGGTTTCCCTGGAGATAAAATTGATAAGGCTTAAGTAGTCCCTAGGTAATGCAAACAGTTAAGCACTTAACTACTAGAAAGGTTGGTGGTTGGAAACCCATCCAGAGGTGGCTTGGAAGACGCCTTGTGGTCTGCTTCCAAAAGGTCACAACCTTAAAAATCCTATAGAGCAGTTCTATGCTGTAGACATGGGGTCGCCATGAGTCACCATGAGTCAGAATCGACTCAACAGCAACTAACAACAGCTTTTGATTGGGGTTTAGGCTCAAGGGGATCATTGGAGTCAACCATTAATAACATTAATAGCTAACATTTATTGAGTTCATACTGTATTCCAGGCAGTATGAAAGATGTTTTAACTGCATTCTCTTACTTAATTTTACAATATCTCTGTGAAATAGGTACCAATAGAATTTCTATTTTAAAGTTTAGGGTACAGTCTGACAGAGGTTAAATAATTGCTTAGCTAATAAATGGCAGTACCTAAATTTGAAACCAGGTCTGTCTCTTATGACCAGCAATTAGCCTTTTTATAATTTTTAGATTACCGTTAGAGTTCTGTAACAGCTAACACTTAAGTATACAAGTGACTTGTTTTTTTCACTCTCAAGAGGAAACTCTGAAGCTGTGGGGCTTTCTACTATTCTCTTCTTGTGATGTGTCTGTCTCCCCTGTAGATTGTTAGCCCCTTTGAGGCAGGCGACATGACTTATTCATCTTTACATTCCCAGTACTTGTCTCAGTCCCAAGCATATGGTAGACTCCTTCAATCACCTAGTCAACAAATATTCTTTGAGTACTGGCTATGTGCCAAGCATTGTTCTGGGTGCTGTGTAGGAGGAATGAAAAAGATGGATAAAGCCCTTGCCCTGATATATATATATATATATATATATA